TAACTAGTTCTTGTAGAAAGGAATTGAGAATGTTTCATCTTTTGTGATTACAAACAAAACTACACTGAATACTACCTTATGGACTTCTCTGTGTATTCATGCTGAAATATATCTGTAGAATAGAGTTCTAAAAGTTGGATTACTGGGTGAAAGAATACGCTTATTTTGCCTTCTTCTTTTTCCTAATACATCCCAAGGAAGTTACAACAGTTATAGGAGATCTCCTATTTCTTTACACTCATCAATTCTTTAAGTTTTTATTTTAAAACATTTCAATTTTTTGTATTTGCACCTGTTGAACATTACTTAAAGTGAGGTTGGGCACCTCTTGATACATTGGTAAATCATCCTCATTTTTCTGTGAAGTATATCCATGGATCTTACATATGAAGTGCATTTCTCCTCAGTTCTATGTGTTATAAATATTTTTTCTCCATGTGTCATCACTTTTTCACTGTATACTTTTTCAACACATAAATTTTTAATTTTTAGGAAGTCAAATTTATCAACTTTGTCTTACTGCTTCTATACTGTATTTGGCATCTTAAAGAAGAACATATGTTGTCAAGATTCTTTTAGTTTTCTAATGCTTTTGTTTTCTTCTAGGATCTTTGCAGGATCACAATTTTTAAACATTTGACTCTTGATAATCTGAACTTTATTTTGTTTTGAAGAGTTATATCAAGATTCAGTCTTATTTTTGTCCCAGTGGCAATCTAGACATTCTAAAAATGTATTGACTAAGCCATCATTCTTTCACTATTTGAAATAATTTATTTTTCACAGATTAGCATTCCATATGTGTTTTGCATTTACTTCCGTGTTTCAGTATTCAGTGTTTTGATGCATGAATCTACTTTTCTAATTTTGAGACTTTCTTACTCACTGTAACATTACAGAATGTATTAGTAATTTGTAGGGCTACCATCCTCTCATCATTTTTTTCCTACTCTTCCTGGCAATTCTCACAACTTTATTTTTCCCATAGGAAATTCATGAAGTCTTTGCCTACACCAAAGTCTTCAAGAGTTTTATTTATTCTATCTTCCAGGAGATTTAAATTTTATATTTCAATATTTAGATCTTTGAGCCACTTAGAATTTAGTTCAGTGCATGGTGAAAGATATGGGTCCAATTTTAATCTTTTCATGTGCAGAGCCAGTTTTTACAGCACCATTTATTAAAGAGGCTATCTTTCTTCCATTGAATGTATTTGGCACTTTTGTCAAAGATAAAGTGGCTGGGTATGTCTGAAGTTGTTTTTGCACCTTCTAGTCTGTTCTATTGACCTTCAGGTCTGGTTTTTGTTTTTGTTTTTTGTTGCCAGTACCACACTGTTTTATCACAGTAGCATTATAGTATAACTTCAAGTCAGGGATTGTGATGCCCCCTGACTTGCCTTTGTTGCCCAGAATATCCTTTGCTAGTCTAGGTCTCTTCCAGTTCCAAATGAATTTTAGGATTTTGTTGTCTAATTCTGTGAGAGATGCTACTGGAATTTTGATCAGAATTGCATTACATCTACATCACAGTTTTGGAAGTATGGCCATTTTCACTATATTGGTTCTTCCTACCCAAGAGCAAGGGTTATCTTTCCATTTTCTGATATCTGCTTCAATCTCCTTTTTCAGAGTACTGTAGTTTTCAATGTAGAGGTCTTTTACACCTCTTGTTACATTGATTCCTAGGTATTTTATTTTTTTGGATGCTATTGTGAAAGTTGTTCTTTCCTTAATTTCTCTCTCAATAAGTTTTTTATTCATGTACAGGTAGGCCATTAACTTTTGAGTGTTGACTTTGTATCCAGCTATGCTACTCAGTTTGTTTATTAGACCTAGCAGATTTTTAGGGGAGTTTTGGGGGTTAATATGTTCTTATGTATCAATGTATTTGGGACTGCAATTAGTGAATCATATCCTCTAGCTTCTAATATTTTCATTATTTTTTTGGTAGATATTCCACAATTTCAGATTAGATTTCCTCTTTTGCTATAAAGTCAGTGATTTTTTTCCCGTGTCTATTTTCTACAGGCTAGAATTTTCTATCTTTTGTATTTGTTATTAATTTCCAATGTTATTGTGATTAGAGAATTTTTTAGTGTTACACTTTCTAGCTCAATATGTAGTCAATTTTTTAAATATTCAGTAAGCCCTTGACAAGAAAGTATAGCCTTTTTGTTGGTTTCACATCATTTTTTAGTGCATTTTCATTACGCAGATTAATAGGTTTGATTTTGGCATATTCCTACGTGGATATAACTACTTTGATCATTTAGATTTTAGGTATCAAGAAATTTAGATTTTTCCATTATCTTTTTTTCAAGCAACATAGTCTGTCATCAGTTGAAACAGTCTTACTTTTTGTTTTTGCTTTTCTCCACCTTTTTATTTTTCCACTTTTGTATTTCCTATAGATTTTGCTTTATCAATTTTGATGTGTTGTTTTGGTGCATAAAGTTTCAGGGTAGTTAGAGCTGCATCTGTGCCTTATTTATTGTTTTTTGCCTTTAATGAAATGTGTTTAAAAGGGGAGTATCATAATTTTAAAAAATTTTACATTAATTTATGTATTAAACAAATATTTGTCTAAGACCTACTGTGCATTAGTCACTAGATCAATTGAATAAGATACAAGATCCCTACCCTTGTATAACTTACATTTTAAAGAGTAGAATACAAAATAAGTGAAAATAGATATGTGATATAATATCAGGTGGGGATGAATGCTCAAAGAAAAAACAAGTAGACTAAAGATAATTAAGAAGTAGTCACTATATTAGATAAGCTAATCAGGAGAGGTCTTTCTGCCCAGTATGCATTTATTATCCTTTACTTTCCACTCACTACTTATTGTTTCTGTTTTTTTTTTTTTTTCCCTGAGTATTGTGCCAAGTAGAAGAGTTTTCACTCAAGGAAGTCCTCTTCCTGAGCAGAGTGCGCACAAGGGATCTGTAGGTAGGCTAAGACCTTCATGAGAAGAGCTTGGAGACGTCTGAATATGAATTTCTGATCCATGTGAATGATGAGCTAACTCGGAGGGGATCTGAGATAAAAGGATGAAGGATATTTTGCTTTCCATTCTATCTAGCTTGGCTACTATTATGTATATTATTATTTTAAAGAAAAACTGTAGAAACAACGATATAGAATTTCAAAACAAGATAGAAGGAAATTAACAATGGTTAATAGATTTCACATTGTTATCTTCAAAACAATTGCTCAGATTACAATATATAGGTATTCAAAATTGATCAAATAATGGAAGCACAACTGTCATTTTCAGTGAACTAATACAAATTGGTAGTATAATTATCTTAGCGCACACACACACACACGCACACACACATATAATTTTCCCTTCCTTCTTTTCTCCTTTCACCCACCCCAGTTATATATTATTTTTAAAGAAATACTCTCAGTAGTCATCATCACTGTTGAATGGATGTTCTGTATGATGATCTAATTGAACCCTTGAAATTTTATGTCACTGGGTAGGACTTAGCATGATGTTGATTGCTCAGAGGCTACAGAAGTAAACCAGATTTTATGGCTCAGAGGGCTTAACCGCTTATATTCTGGAGCAAAAACGATGTCTTTTAACTTTATTATATAGAAGATTGACATTTTATACATATTTAAATAAATCTTAACTTTTTCCTTGGAGGTTTTCTTCTATTACAGGAGGCCTTTGCCTCCCAAGTAATAGTTTTTTTTTCAAATTTTTCTTATAGTTTTTTCTAAGTATATTACATATTTATGCCTATAATATTTATATACATATGTATATATGTAGTGTATTAAAATGATATGTACACACATCCCTCAGTCTTGATCTTGAATTTATTTTGATATACAATATATGGTATAGTTCCAAATAACACTGTTCTATAGTTATCTCAAAAAGGCTTTTTGAATGTTTTGCTTTCTCCTTCTTTTGGAAAGTTATATCTGATGTCTTTGTAGACAGGTTGGTTTCTAGACTTTCTATTCTGTTAATCAATAACATACTTTTAATTACAATTGTTTTATAACATGCTTAACCTTTTACTGGTACCTTTCCTGATTTCTTCAGTAGCAGAACACTCTTTCACATAATATCCTGCCTTTTCTTGCAAGGTAACATTAAAAAAAAATCTAGAGCTATAAATTTTATGCTAAGACTTCTGATTGGAACTTTATTAGAAGATATTTTAAATCCAAATAGCAGATATTTATGAATGATCTGCTTGGTATTTTTTGCTACAAGTATAAGAACACAGTATCTATATCTAATTCACAATACAGTTTGCATCTAAAAAGGCAAGAAGGGGAATGGAAGTGAGGAATAATACAAAGGAGATTGTTTATTTTTTATTAAGAAAAATGTATGAAGCATTGTTTATTTTTTAGTAAGAAAAATGTATGATGGCAAAGTATTAAAATGTGCTAATTTTGAGTGGTAGATGGGAACATGGCTATTTATTATGACAACATCTATACATTTATAAATATTTGAAATTTCTACTAATTAACAATAAAACAAAAATATACAGATAAGACACAACAGCCAGGCTGTAAGGCCCAAAATATGGCACATCTAATCATAGTGATATAAACAAACTAGGTCAGTATGTATATATCTAGAGTTTAGAGTGAGACAGTTGAAGTTCAAATCCTAGCTCTACCATTTATTAACTTCATGACCCTAGGCAAATTACTTAACATATGCCTCAGTTTCCCTAACCATGAAATGATTAACAGCTCCTACCTAGGATTATTGTGAAGATTAAATAAGATATGAAAAGGATTTAAAATAATGTCTGGTACTTAGTATATGCACAGTAAGTGTTAGCTATCATTATTATCTTATTATTGTGATTATTATTACCTGACTAGTGTAATTCCTACTTACTTTACAATGTTTTGTGGCCATTTTAAATTGTATATAAGCGATGTTATCCAAAATATAGACCCATCTGCAAAGTGCTCCATCTTACTCAAACCTCATCTACTGTTTTGCAGGGAAATGGCTCATTCCAAAGCCAACTTTTCATGGGCAACCCCCTTCCATTCCTGTATTGAGAACCCAACACTGGACTTAAGCCACCGAGCAATTTCTTCTCTTGACCTCCTTGGAGACTTCAAACATGGCTTGAAGAAAACAGAAGAAACTTCAGTTTATGAGGAGGAGAGCTCACTTGCCCCTATGCCCCGTCCACTGCGCAGCCGTGCCTTCTCAGAGAGTCACATCAGTTTGGAGCCTCCGAACACCCGGGCTTGGGTGCAGCATCGGAGGGAGCTCTTTACTAAAGGCGATGAAACACAACCTGATCCTGTTGGAGCCAGGAAGAAGGCCTTTCCTCCTCCTCGCCCTCCTCCTCCCAACTGGGAAAAATACAGGCTCTTTCGGGCTGCACAACAGCAGAAGCAGCAGCAGCTGCAGCAGCAACAGCAGCAGCAGCAGCACCAGCAGCAGCAGCAGCAGCACCAGCAGCACCAGCAGCAGCAGCACCAGCAGCACCAGCAGCAGCACCAGCAGCACCAGCAAGAAGAGGCAGAAGAAGAAGAGGAAGAGGAGGAAGAGGAGGAGGAAGGAGAAGAGGAGGAAGAGGAGTTGCCACCTCAGTATTTTAGTTCAGAAACCATTGGTTCCTGTGCTCTCAATCCTAAAGAGGTCCCAGAGCAGCCACAGCCCCTGAGCCTTGACAACCTGGTGGCCTCAAGGCAAGGTTCACAAAGCCTATCAGAACAGGAGTCCTTTGCTCTCCATTCCAGTGACTTCCTTCCTCCAATAAGGAGCCACTTGGGATGTCAAACTGAGCAAGCGCAGCCTCCTTGCTATTATGGCACTGGTGGACTTTGGAGGCCATCAGAACAGGAAGCCACTGATTCCCCCAAGTAAGTGTTTGTGAGAGATACTGGGTTCCTGGAGATCTAGGCAGCGTGAGATCAAATTCTACGTGTTCTATTGACTAGCTGCCTGACTTTTGGCTGTTAAATTGCTCCCAGCCTCAGGGTTCTTACCTGATAATACTTGTTCTGCATGGTTTTTGTGAATATAATCTATGCAAAGAACAGCACTACATGCTTAGCATATAGTAGATGTTCAGAAGTTGTCAGTGTTCTTATCTTTACATATCATCATTAAAATACTGTATTATTTTTTGGTTTGTCTTTAAGGTATGCCTTTAAGGTACCTGGCCCTTGACCCCAGAAGCATAGGCATACCAAACCCTTTTTGCTTGTACTAGGATTTTATTGGAAACCTAGTTTAGGGTCTTTTCTGGCAACCTACTTTGCAGATCTTCTCTAGACTAAGTAACCTGGACCTCTAAATTCTCCCACCCCAGCATCAAAGGTATTTCTGAAGCCGGCTGTTTGTGACCTGATAATCCCTTACGATAGCAAACAACAATCTTTATTTCTTGCACTCCCCACTCCTTGTTTCCCTGCCTCTTTGCATTTCACAGAGAGGTCAAAGCAGAAGTGTTGTCTGGCATGGGACTACAGGTCTCTGTCACATCACTGTACCAGTGCTTCTGCCAACCCCACACTACCTGGTTGTCACTTTTACCCTAGAGCAAAACCCCCAGACTACCATTCCTCAGTGCTTTGACTCTCAGCTCTGCTTGCCTTTCTACAGAGAGCTCCCCTTCTCCAATTCTTTGTTGGTGGTGAGAACAGGAGACAGGTGTCTTCTAAGTGTTTTCTTTAAATCCCTTTAAAACGAAGTTGCCTGGAACTTATTGCTATTAGAAGTACTTTGTTCTTGTGCCCTTTATTGACAGGCAGATCTTGTTACTTGACTATGTGGAGCAGGTTGAGCAGTGTTCCAGTCTGAGATGCCGCAAGCCTTCTTTTCTTCTTTCTATTTTCTTTCTTTCTTTGAAACAAGGTATCACTTTGTAGTTCAGGCTGGCTTTGAACTCACTACATGGCCCAAGCTGTCCTCAAATTCACAGTGATCCTCCTGCCTCAGCCTTCCAAGTGCTGGGATAACAGGCGTGTAGCACCATACCCAGCTGCCACAAGCTTTTAAAGCATTTTCAGGGCCTAGCATCCAGGCATTGTAAGAATCCTTTACCAGATCCCATATGGCTGCTTCTCAAGCTAATATCTTTCTGGGGATCATTCTTATTTGTGACTAGAAAATGTTTATGGAAAGTAACTATGTTTGCTATGTATCATAGATAGGGGAAGGGAAGGTGACCAAGCACATAGTAGACACTTAACTAATATTTCAGAAGGAAGGATGGATAAATGGGAGAATGAATGAGTTAATGAACATTTATTAAGCATTTACTATGTATTCTACACTGCTAGGAATTTTATGTCTATTATGTTATTTAATCTTCCCAACACTCCTGTTGGCCATTATGATCCCCATTTGACAATTAAAGAAACAAAAGTGTAACAAAATAAGGGACTACCTAATTCAGTGCTATCCTTTCATGGATAGTGTCTGATGTAGCAATGGTTCAACTTAGGACTTTTTTTTTTGCTTTACCATACTGTAAAAGAAATAGACATTCAGTAGAAGCCATAATTCAAATTTTGCATTTTGATATTTTCCTGGGCTAATGAATTACAGAACAGTACTCTCCCAGGATGCTGGGTAGCAGCAGCAGCAGGCACATCTCCCAGCCAGCCACACGAGCATAAGAGGAACAGTGCGCTGTGTTACTAAGCTGTGATATTTGATAGGTTAGCTGTACTCAATCCTTTTTCAAATCATTATATTTTCAATTTATGGTGGTTTTATCAGCATATAACTCCACTGCAAATTGAGGAGCATCTGTATTGATTTAATCTCCACAATAAACGTATGAAATAGTTATAATTAGACGCCTCCATTTTTAGGTGAGAAAAAGTAAGGTCAAAGGATGAAGTGTAACTTTACCACAGGATCACAGGCGACAAGAACCCAGGTGGTCTGGCTCACTGTGCTTACACATTGTCTCAGGGTCTCTGGGCTCTTAAAGAATATTCTATTCTAGGCCCTAGAAGTACACAGAACCAGAAGGATGCAGCTTTATTACTTTGTAAATAAGAATAATGTTTGGGGCAGGTAGATATATAATATTTTAAACCTAAAATGCAAACAAAGACATTCAGATTTCAGCTAACCTAAATTGCAATGTAATGTCTAAAGTACACATACATCTAGGATAGCAGAATTTTCCAATATTGTTCAAGTCTAGTAGCTCTGATTCAAGTGTAAGGAGAGCTTGCTTTTATGGGTTGTATGCACTTCTTGTCAGTGCACTGTGGAAGGACTCTTGACTTTTGCTTTGATGTTCCCTTTTAAATTCTGCTTATGTTTTCATAGATTTCCCATAATCCCTTTCCTGTTCATGGAGGTAATAAGGAAAGAAGCTCCAGAGCATAGTGCATAATGTGATGCACTACAGTGTGATGCAGGGATGAGGCTGCTGAGGCACTCAGTCTCCAATTAGCACATCCCTTTTTTCTTTAAACTTTCTGATTCAAAACTTCGTGTATGCCCTAAACATTTTTCTTGTAGATTGGAATTCACTAAGTTCATATCTTTCTATTCCTTCCAGAATGTTCTCTCTTCTCTGCTAACATATACTCTAGCCAGAAAATTCTTTACACCTAAAGTTTTATAGGATATCATTTTGTCCCGCTGTTAATATTGTATAATGGCAAAAAGCACAAATTGTGCCCAGGTGGAAATCACACGTCTGTCATTTATTGGCTGGTGACCTTGGGATAATCACTTTCCCTCTTGAAGACTTGTGTTTCTCATCTGCACAGCGATTTTGATGAGCTTTCAGTTAGACAGCTATATTCCCACACCTGTGTGTGTGCACAAGCATGCTTATACCTATCTTAGGACGGTTTCTAAGACATGGTAAACACTGTGTGAATATCAGCTAGTGTTGTTCCCCCATCAGTGTTATAAGCTTGAAACCTTACGTGTAAAATGAATTTACCTGTGATGAGGAATAATGGCATGCCCAAGTTTATTCTCTGTGGTGAATTAGGAGAATGCACATCATGAATCAGTAAATAGCTGTGGAGTCTTTCAACTATTATTTTTAACCTTTATCTAAGAGCTGCATAGAGCTGCAAAACTGATTGAATTTCTCTTATTTTCCCTTTCAAATACATACAGCTTAGCAATGGGGTAGTGACAAAGACAGGTGGAGGATGAGGGTGGTTCATAGGCAAAGAGATTGTTCTGAGGGTGGGCCCCCATCTTACATAAACCCTGGGTGGAATTATTTATCCCTCCATCACTGAAACGTGACATTGTAAAATGGCTTTTTACTGTCTTTTTACCACCAGATCAGAAGCATCATTGGCAGAAGAGTCCAAACCCAAGTCACCATGGAGCCAGAGCTACTTCCTTCCTGAGGAGAAATTCTCTCAGTTGGGTTGGGCCTCTGAGAAACAACACCTCGGCCCTGCAGACTTTGGTGCACCTAAGGCAACAAGGTCTGCTGCTACACTTGTCAAGCTCCTGGGTGTCACTGGTTTCATTTTTCCCATTTCATTCTACAGCTGTGCAGGAGGCTTGGATCACTGGGGATACACCAGAAGTAGAGAGATACTATCTCTTTTCAGGCTGAAAGGTACCCTACAGCAAGCAGTCTCAGATGAGCTCATGAGAGAGCATTGACAGGTCCCTGGCAGGGGTTCTAACCTCAACCTCCAACATGGTGGCCATGGCTGAGATCATGGGCAACCTCTTTGCTGTGGGAGATCTTCAGTGAAGGGGCCATTTCAAGCAGAAGTGGCACCAGGAAAGAAGAAATGAGTGTCCAGGAAAGCCATAGGGTTCTTTTGTAAGCAAACAGCTTAGATAGAGATGGGGTGGGTATGGGGCTGAGGATTTAGCTCAGCAGCACAGCGCCTGCCTGGAAAGTGTGAGGTCATGAGTTCGATTCCTGGTACCGGAAAAAAAAAAAAAAGGATGCGGTGGGCAGAGGTCTGTTGATGGGTAGGAAGGAGGCTAACAAGTGGGAAGACTGAGAGCTAAGACCTTAGATGATTTTCTACTACCTAGTCCCTCCTTTGGTAGTCATACACTGGTGCCATGAACCAAGGGAAATTATTGATGAACAGAAGCCCAAAATTTTTATGGCCTACCAGGTTTCTTCTGGATTTTAATGGGACATTAATGACCAAACCAAATTATCTCTAAAGAAGTCTCCCTACCTGCTAAAGTCAGGGGCATGGAAATAGCCTCCTAGATTCTTAAAGTTTGCCTTTACCTGGCTTCTAGATATCCAGGTGACTTGTGTATGTTTGAGGAGTGACAACTGAACCATTACTCTTTTCATCATCGTCAATATTATGATTTTATAATGCTTTGGTGAATCAGTGTACCATTTTACAGATGGGGAAATTAAAGCAGAAAGGCCAGCAACCTCTCAACAAAGGTGCTCAAATGATCATTGTTTCCACAGGCAAGAGTTTCAGCACTTCTCACCTCCTCCAGTAGCTCCAGGAATCCCTACCTCCTATTCAGCTTATTACAATATTTCTGTGGCCAAGGCAGAGCTGCTGAACAAGTTGAAAGACCAACCTGAGATAGCAGAAATTTGCCTGGGTGAGGAGGAAGTTGACTACGAACTAGCTCAAAAAAAGGTAAAGTTTTTGGCATACACTAGAGATTTTTGGCATTTAGTTTGAGTGTCTGGAGGGCAGTCAGCACCTCTACACCCTTTAAAATGTTTCATATTGTTGGGGCTGGGGATTTAGCTCAGCGGCACAGTGCTTGCCTGGCAAGCGCAAGGTCGTGAGTTCGATTCCCAGTACCAGAAAAAAAACAAACCAAAAAAAAAAAAAGAATGTTTCATATTGTTGTATTTTCAATATGGTAGTCAAACAGCCTTTCTGGGTTTCTCACAATAAGACTCCAGTCTCTTTAATCCAACCAATAGTAGGAGCAGTAGCAGTGATCATCACTACCTCTCTGATCTTTAGACCTACAAGCTCTGTGTGTGTGTGTGTGTGTGTGTGTGTGTGTGTGTGTATACTTTGCTTTGCTTGTGCTAGGAAAGCACTCTATCCACTGAGCTGCCTCATAACATGAAAGAGTCACATTATAATTTTTTGTATGGGGGGGACTAGAGATTGAACCCAGGATCTCATATATGCTAAGCAAGCACTTCACAACTGAACTACACCCCTATTTGCCATTATTATTATTATTATCATCATCACATCATCATCATTATTATTCTTGGTGGTGGTGCTAGGGCTGGACCCCAGAGCTTTCCACATGATAGGCAAGCTCTCTACCACTGAGCTATATGCCCAGTCCTGCAAAGTAGATATTACTAAACACTTTTTTTTTTTAACCAGTTGAGGGAACTAATTTTCCTAAGGATTAAAACACTAAATGATATATCCAGAACTCTAAGTCAAGCTGAATTTCTACCTTACCATGCTGTCCTTCAGAATTAAGTCAGGCTTAACGCTCACTATCACCCAGGACACAACAGTTTCTGACACTGAACTCTAGCCCATGGCATTACCGTTAACATTTTTTTCTGTGTAACTTGCTGGAAAGAGAACAAACTGACAAAGGAAAATAAAAAGAAATTACAGGCTGACATATTTTAGCATTTATTTGGAATAATGGTTACTTATCTCTTAAAACTACAAAATAGATAAGTGGAGATGATATTGTTGTTGTTGTTCCCAAGCCTCTCTTTTGTCCTGTAAGTACATCTAGCCTAGTTTTCTAATCAAGTTCCTGGAATCACTTTGCCCTCTTTATATTTACTCGTTTTATGTTGTATTTCATAAGCAAATAGGGTTGCCATGGAAACATCCAAGGCACATTTTACCATTTGTGGATGTATGAACTTAGTGTAAATTGCTGTTCTGCGTATGGTTCTCTTGTAGAACATGACCTTTAGGAAAGTGCAGGGCCATTTGCAAAAGCCTTCCTTCCAATTTTCCATCTGAAACGAAATGTCAGGGAAAGAATTGGAAACGTGGTGATATTGAAGTTTTGTTGACCCAGATGATCTTCCTTGTAGTCCATTCCCTGAGCATAACAGGGTGCTCCTTTTTTACTAAGAGCCTAGCCTTTCTAGGGGCAAACCTAATAAAGGTCTGACCAGGAAAAGGGGGAGATGGCCAGAAATGGGAAAGCAATGAATGATAGAGCATGACTGTCAGTGATTATGGGTAGATCACGATAGTTTTTTGTCTCTGAGGAAAAAAAGATAAAGAAGGTTACCAATTTTAAATAACCCAGGCAAAAATCAGTTCAGTTCTAGCTGGGTCTGTGAGAACTCCACAGCTCTATGTTCTATACTTTCCCCAGGGCTAAAGGTCAAGTTATAGAGGCCAGGTGCTGAGAAACAGGATTTTCTTCATTTTCATCCTTCCATCCGTCTCCAGAGCCTGTAAACCAGGCTGGGTAGGAAATTTTCAGTGTGGATCATTCCTTATCCCTATCATTAGGTTTTTTGTGTGAGAAAGCAGAAGAGAGTAACTGGGAATCTCTTGACATGTAATTATGCTATCTCATTTATGTCACTGATCCCCAAATCCTAGTGGATTTGGGAATTGTTGTCAAATGCACACCTGTTATACTTCAGGCTATGGTCATGGTGATCTCTGAATTTTAAACAGTTCTAAAATACAGCAGCAGGCCCTAGAACCCAGATGAAGCTCTCTTCATCTTGGTCATCTTGAGCATCTCTAAATAAACTACTAGAAAAGAACACAATCTAGAAAACTACAAGCTTATGGTCGCAGAATGCCTGGGCTGAAATAACAATAAACACGGAAGCATACTTTCTACTAATTACTCTATGAGATTGGCAACATTGTCTTCTTATTTTTTTTTTAGATGACAACACTGAGGCACAGAAAGTTTGAGTAATTTGTTCAGACTACTACTTTGTGATGGAGCTTGAGTTCAAATTCAGGTAGTCTGGACACTAAAGTCCGTATTTTAACTGCAATGCAATACTGGCTGTGAAGGTTCTGGGCAACCTGGGATGGCTCCATGACCGTCAGAACCTTGTAGCTAGTATCCTTTATAGTTTAGAGTGCCTTGAGTTAGCATCAGCAGCATCAAGAGCAAGAGCAGCAGCGACAGCCGCAGCAGCAGTAGTAGTAGCTGTAGTAGTAGTAGTTGTGGTAGTAGTAGTAGCAATAGTAGTAGTAATAGTAATTATGATTTTAATAATAGCATCAATAAACATACATTGAGCCTTTAATGCACCAGGCACAGTAGTATTTTGCTTCTGTGATCTCAACAACCATCACAACAACACTGGGGTTGAGTGGAGAGCTTCTCCAGTTTATAGATGAAGAAATAGTGGAGATGGGTATTCAGTCTAAGGTCATAGAGTTTGGAGAAGGTAGAATAGGATTCTGAACTTCTCTGATTCTAAAACTCCACCGTGCAGCATTTCTTTCCTGTGAGTGCAGTTCCAAAACTAGGGGAAAAATTGGAAGACATGGGCAACATTTTCCTTGAGAAACTTAGAATCAATACTAGGCAAGGACTTGGACTCACATATAAAATAGAATGTTATCAACTTCAAATTACACTATAGGGTTCTAATTCTAGAATACCTGAGAACCTAGAAAAGAAAGCAATCATTGAGGGAATGCTTCGAGAGGAGGACTTCCTGTAGGGAAGATGAGGGCAGAGCTGTGCCCTGAAGAAAGAATGGAAATAGTCAAAGTGAAGAAAGGGAATAGGAACAGATAGAACTGCAGAAGCAACTCAGAAACACAAGAATGAGTTTTGTGAACACACAATAGAATGAAGAGCTAACCCTGAAAGGTTCTCAAGAATAACTTAAGAATGGTAGAATAGGAACAAATTTAATAATAATAATAATAATAATAATAATAATAATAATAGCAGTAGTATTTAAGCGTTTATTCTGAGCACTTACTGTTCACATGCATTATGTCATGGAGTAATTACCACCCAATACAATAGGTACTTCAATTATCCCCTTTCCTTCTATAGATAAAGAATAAAGCTCAATAAAGTCAAATCATCCAAGGTCCCAAAGCTAGGAAGTGGCAGATCTACCTCAAACCCAGTCATTATGGCTCCAAAACTTTCACTCATCCAAAGACCTTAAAAGCCAAAGTAAATGGGCAAGGACCTAGTACAGTGCCATGAACATAAGAGGAACTTACATGGATTAAAGAAAAATGAGTAAAGTGATAAGTAGTTAATAACAAATGTTTTTCCAACCTAGGATCTCAGAAGCATTCTAGTCCCAATTTATTATAGAGTCTTAGCAAGTATTCTGTTGCATTTGGCAAGAGAGACTTAGCCCATTTATCTAATTACAATAGGTTTTGTGGTGACATGGACATGCCTATCAAACAAGGAAAGAAGATACCTGCCCCCAAAATTGGAATTGCTCATGATCTCAAAGGATTCCTTTGTTTCCAGTGACTAGGGTAGAGCCTACAATCTGTTACTTGGATCCCAAAACACAAATTGGAGCTATGAATCAGTTTTCATTGGTCCCCATGCTCATCATTTTCCTTCCCCTATTTAACTCCCCTAGATCCAGCTTATTGAAAGCATTGGCCGCAAACTTTCTGTCCTAAAGGAGGCCCAGCGAGGGCTGCTGGAGGACATCAGTGCCAATTCAGCCCTTGGAGAGGAGGTGGAGACCAATTTAAAGGCCGTCTGCAAATCCAATGAGTTTGAAAAATATCGATTGTTCATCGGGGATCTTGATAAAGTGGTTAACCTGTTGTTGTCACTCTCTGGACGACTGGCGCGAGTGGAGAATGCTCTTAACAGCATCAATTCGGAGGCGAACCAGGAAAAGGTAGAGTTGTGGTCTCCATGAGTGTGGATGGAGGGCACTGCCATCTGTTTTATTTCTGAGATTTTCTTTGAAGCTGGGCTATTGTGGAAGGCAGAAGAGCATAGTGCTGAGTGTGAATACCAGCTTCCGAGTGCCCTGAAATTCTGGCTCTAGTTAAATTAAAAAAGAACTATCTAAATATGGGATGTTACCTAGTCTTTAAAGGTAATACAATAGATCTAAATGTCTTGTAGAAAATCACCAAAATGAAAAAGATTTAGAATAGAAAAAAATGTATATTCTGTTTTAGTAGCTGTGTGACTATGGGTAACTTATTCAACATGACTCTATCTTAATCTTTTCCTCTATGAAATGAGATGGACAAACTACCTGTCACGTGGGGTTGTTGTGAGAATTAAAGTAGATAATCCATGTTTATTACTTAAAACAGGCCCTGGGTTTGAGGTTGTAGCTCGGTAGTGGAGCACTTGCCTAGCACACACAAGGCCTTGAGTTCCATCCCAGAGCTACAGAAACAAAAACAGGACCTGGAGGAGGGTAATTAGTGGATCACTGCCAGCTGCCAGTAGTCGTGATGGTGGTGGTGGATGGAGGCGGGAGTGGCAGAAGCAACAGCAGCAATTTTGCCTCACTCTCTCTAGAGCTGAGAGGGAAGGTGTCATGGGAACACTGTCAGTTTCACAGATTGGATCATGCTGTGTATATCCTGAACCAAACTGCTTTACATACCCCTACACAAGTAGCTTTGAATCCATAATAAGGGGCACATATGTGTGTGTATACATGTACGCAGATACATACACTCACATATGTCCACTTCCACAGAAACACACACCTCCTGGGAAGCATTGCCACATTCATAGCTGTTCTCCAGATGGAAGGTACAAAACCGGGCTTTGTTTTTTGGTTTTTTTTTTTGGTTTTTTTTTTTTTTTGTTTTTTTATTTTGGTTTTTCTCTGGTACCGGGAACCGAACTCACGACCTTGCGCTTGCCAGGCAGGCGCTTTTGCCGCTGAGCTAAATCCCCAGCCCCCAAAACCTGGCTTTGTTAAAACCAGCCACACACCAAACCCACTAGGGATCCACAGATGAAAGGCGGGCAGCCTTAGAGATGGAGGCAGGAGACTGTGCTTCCCTTTGCACAGCGATGTGGGCATATTTGTGCTCCTTCAACTACAAGAAAGAAAGGCTTTCTGCATGGAGGTGGATTTTACAGCAGGACGCCTAGGACTAATCAGTTAGCAGGCAGGATAGCTGCCTTGAGCCTGCCTCCCCGGTGAGGCATTGCTAAGCAGATGCCCGATAATCAAGATAGTCCTTAATCACACCTCTGTTTCCCCAGTTGGTGCTGATAGAGAAGAAGCAGCAGCTGACAGGCCAATTGGCAGATGCCAAGGAGCTGAAGGAGCATGTGGATCGTCGGGAGAAGTTGGTGTTTGACATGGTCTCCCGCTACCTGCCTCAGGACCAGCTCCAAGATTACCAGCACTTTGTCAAGATGAAATCTGCTCTCATCATTGAACAGAGAGAGTTGGAGGAAAAGATCAAGCTTGGGGAAGAGCAGCTTAAATGTCTCAGGGAGAGCCTACTCCTGGGGCCCAGCAATTTCTAAATCACCAGCAGTCTGCCACACCATCCCTGACCAGCCACTGTGGGAATTGCTTTCATCTTCAGTAGTAGTTTGCTGACAAGTAGATAGCAATTAGTTGGCAGTTTGTTCTGGTCCTATTACCCTGGATGTCTCTCATTTCTCCTTCCCTAGAAGCAGTCCCAACCAGCAAGGATACCCTAAGGAGGTGCTAAGCTTCTACCTTAGGGAGCTACAGCAAGGTGTGGTTGTGCAAGTACCCTCCTTCCTACAGTGTGTGTGGACAAGCATTCACTGCCCATAGAACCAAACAAGTGCCTTTGTTCTTTGTACTAGGATACCAAAGACGTCCTGAACTCTCAACCCACTCACACCAGGATTGGTTTTTTTTAAGGATCAGAGAAAAGCTACTTGGGCAGCTTCTTTCTGCCCCAGGGCTTGTGACCCAGCAATTTGCTGTGGAGATCTGGCTACCTTGAGGTCATTCATTTACTACCAGTTTCAGGGACTCACCCAGGCTTTGCAGTGCAAAGCACAAAGGCAGGTATTACACACAAGAGAATGTGAGTGAAGGTTGGGTATCGCCAGGTGACCCTCAGGAAAAAGCCAGGCTTAAACAAATTGGTTCTACTACTTTCCCCAGCAGCTGGTTGATAGGAAAGAAGCCTGCTTTCAGCCTTGGGTAGTGTGGCTTCCTCCTCTCCTAAGACTTTGGGCCTACCACCTTTCATTTCATCTTGCTCTTGCATTGTTGGGAGTTAAAGGTGCCCATCCCAGTGCTTCACACTATGGGTCCTTAATAGCTCTACTATAGCTGACTTCAGGATATAGATTTCATTATTGGTGGAGAAGTTCTTATTATTATATTTTAAATAGCCTCTTAATTTTATTTATTTTTATGTTTTGATTGATATTTTTTCTTTTTTAATTAGTAAGGTGAGAAGAGGGAAGTTGGAAAGGGAAAAGTTAGCCCAAGAAAGCATTTTCTGCAGATCAGCCTGAATCCACCATGGCTAGGTAAGCATGTGCTGAAGCATTCAGCCTTTCCCATTATAGCTACAACTGTTTAAGAAAGGTTTTCTCCCCTTGAGCTTATAACTTCCCTATCATGGCCAGGCTGCTTGCTTCCCTTGAAGTCTGGATGACTGTGAGCTTTCTATTTCCCAGCAGCATTAAGCTTTTTTATTTGTTTTTGTAAGCCAAAGAAACCTGAAACTGAAAAAAGTCACCCATTTTTCTAATGACTCCAAGCCACAAGTAAGTGAAGGTATGTTCAGGACATCCTTTTCTAATAACTGCTTTACAGCTTACGGCCTGGCTCAGGGAACCAGACTTTTGGTAGCTGGGAGCTGCAACCAGGACCAGCTCCCCAGAGCGAACTATGATCCAGCCAGTATCTTGGCATACAGCATCCCCCTCCTTAGCTTAAGGGATATGTTCCAAGACCCTCAGGGGGACACCAGAAACCTTATATACACTGTGCCTTTTCTTACATGCTCTGTAGCAGTGCCACACAGAGCTGGAGTTAATCTTTCTTCCCATGTTCTATGTTCTATGTTCTGGTTTTTCTTTTGGTTTACTACTCTTGTGTGTTGGGGTCATTATTAAGTAAAAGAAGGGTTACTTGGGTACAAGCACTGTACACTGCAATACTTTCACAGCCAATCTGATAACTGGCGACTAAGTGACAAAAGGGTGGATAGTCTGCATAACTTGGATATGTTGGACCAAGGGAAGATTCATGTCCCAGATGGGATGGAGCAGAATGGAACTAGATTTCATCATGCTGCTCACAACGGCACACAATTTAAAGCTCATAAGTTTATGTCTGGAATTTTTCATTTAATCATTTTGGACCATGGTTGACCACAGGTAACTGAAATTACAGAAAGTGGAATTACAGGTAAGGGGAAACTACTGTACAAAGAACCCAAGCTACTGCTCTTGCCCAGGCCTTGACTGGTAGCCAGCTTGTATCTTCCAAACGTGGGCAATGGCAGGAAGGGAATTCTAACCAAACCCTGACCTGTTACCTGGCTTAATTCTCTATGACTTGCTGATTGATGTCAACCTTTCATATTATGTAGCCCACTTAAGCCCAACCTAACAAAGCCCTAGCATCTCTTGTACAGCTGAGTTCCTCAGGATGCTTGGAGGGTCACTGTAGTAAGGGAGGTACCTCATCCAACCAAAGAAATCACCAGGGAACTTTGCTGCTGCTACAGTTACTAGTCACTGTCTTCCATTTCCTCTTCATTGTATCTGAAAACAATGGGAGACTCTTAGCCAGCAGGGTGTGTGGGGCAGGGGGGAGACCCTTCCTGTGAGGCCCTGGTTCCGCTCTTAGTACTGCCGCCGGTGGCAAGAACCACTGTTAGTGTCAGTCCTGCTATTCTGCCCTCCAGTGGAAGATTTTACCCTTCTCAGGAAGGCTGATGGCTTATGAATGGCAAAGTTTACCCAATTGAAGGTTGAAGAGATGGGGGACGTGCTTTGAATAAAGGTCATAGCTGCCATTATTTTTAACAGGGTTTAGGAACAAACAAAAAGCAGGTTGAAATGTCTTAGACTGGAGGGGCTGGATGAGGCCAATGCATTCCAGCATTCTAACTTTTTTTTAAAGCCATAATAGATTTTTGAGAATTTAGGGCTGGGGCAAAGAGTGATAATTTACCTGGATACTATATGATCACAGTCTGGATTTTTCTAACGAATATTAAACTAGTTATACCTAAGGTGCGTGATACCAAAAATACTATTAACTGTCATTTTTGTCTCTCATCTCACTTCAAATTAGTTTCCATAATGGGAGTCACGATACAAGGATATTCACTTTCACATAGAAGGACGGTTTCCAAAGCTCCTAAAAATTTAACCCCAAAACTGTACTAAGCAGTGATGCCCTGTAAACAGAGGTGAACTACTAAATAGATACTGGCATGCCAACTCTTGCTGTGCTAGTGCCGTGTGAGTGACAGTGCTACAGAGTCACTGTGATTACTTGTTTCTCCCTTGTCCTCAATTTCTGGGCTATCCCTCTTCCAAAGCTTTTGAGGGGGTAGCAGTTTGGAAGGCAGTCAACTGACCTCTCCAAAGACTGTTATTGGTTTCAACATGTACTCTGTTCCTTCAAATACTTATAGAGGTCCCAGAGGGTAAGAGGTAAACAGGGTGGTGAATAGATAGGAAGGAGTCAGTGCAAGGGTTCCTGTCACATGTCTCCTCTTACTTCCCTCATCCCCAAGACTCTGAATAATTGGGTCTCCCTGAGTCCCACATCCAGAGACTCAGCCAGAATATAGAAATAAATGCCCAAGTGGAATCCAAGATAATGAAACAAAGACACTAAAAATAAAGCCCTAGAAAGGAAGCGCTTAGAAGCAGAGAAAAGGCACGAGGGTGAAAAGATGCAAAGCCTTTTTTCAAGGTTAAATTCAGGTTCTATTGCCCCTTTAACCTCATGTTAAATGTGCCCCAAGAAAAGCTGCCTAGGGTCACTAGAGTTATATCCTCAACCCCAGCCTCCCTGAAGGTGCTGCTCTGCCAGTAGCAGGCCCCAGATGGAAGAAGCTGGGCACATTTATGGCAGCTCCACTACCCATCTAGAGCTTTGACAACTCCCAATGTCTTTGCCAGAGGAGTTGTCTATGCCAGTGGTATTTCCATAACAGCATGTTATATTATTTGAAGATTAGTAGATCTTTACGGGGGGGGACAGGGACAGTTTGTGTAGATAAAGAATCAATGTTTGTTGTACAACTGTGGGGGGTCATCTATCCCATGTAAAGCTATTATTTTTTCTGAATCTTAATGTTTCTGTATCTGTGTCCTCCACCACTCCCTTCTCGGCAGACATAGATATGCCTGCCAGATTGTCATCAAGGGACATACTTCAATAAAAGGTGCTAAGGACAAAAATAACTGTCTCACATGTTTTGACTCAGGTAATGGAGATCCCCTATTACTTTGCTGAAAAGTACTGGAAAAGAATTTGGTCACCTATCGATTATATTTCATAAACAGCTATATGACCAGACCCTTACCCACATTCCTAAACCCTTACACTGACCTCTTAGGGTTGGTATTCATACTCTTATCATTCATCATGCACAGGAAAGTAGCAGGGTCTGCAATAGACTTTTTAGGGGAATAGCTTTTAGACATCTATTCCAAGAGCTCCCTGAATAAGGGCCACAGAGTTTATGCCATAGGTATTTCTGTTGTTACTACAAGATGGAAACATGTTTGCTTTTCTACTGAGAAAGACATCAGAACTACAATGCCTGTCCTTTAGCTGGCTGGTGCATTTATTCCTCTATGGTTAGTTGTATTGGTCCATCTTTGTATAATAAAACACCTGAGGCTCAAAATATTTATAAAGAAATGAGGTTTACTTAACTTATCATTTTGGAGGTTCAAGCACATGGTACTAGCATCAGCTCAGCTCTGGTGAGGACCTCATAGTGGATGGCACCACAATGGCAGGAATATATGCAAGAATGAGCAATCCTATCACTGTACAGAAAGCCAAAGAACAATTCAGTTGTTAGATTCATGATTTTAACAAAAACTAAATTCTCACTAAAACTAATTCAGGGGTCCCACAAAACTACCATAACCTTTCTGAAGGAGTGCTCCTGGTCACCTATGGAAGTCCCACTAGATTCCATCTGTTAATATTGCCACACTGGAGACCAGGTTCCAAGTACATGAACTCTATGGGACAAACTCATGCCATATCCAAACTATAGCATTAGTCAGTAGCAACATCACAATTTGTCTAACATTTAAAATGCAGGAAGATTCAACAATAAAGGTAGTTTCGTGGGTAGACCTTAGCAGTATACAGAGAGTCCTTTTCTACAGTCTAGTCTGATTAGCCTTCAATACCTTCTCCAATCTTGAGTTCTGTCTATGAGTATCATCTTATTTCTAGCTCATACTTGAGCCTCACCCTTTCACTCTCAGCTCCTTGAAAAGCAAGGGAGCTGATGAGTTCTCGAAAACAACCTCAATGCTTAGAGCCAAATATGTTCTGTGCAGCAATTCTGATGCTGAAAGGCTTTCTTTTTTCCCTATCCCAACTATCCTCCACATACTTCAGATATCTAGATGTTGGAGAGTGGAAAGAACCCACCTTTCAGCATTACAATCAACTGGGTTCAAATCCTGGTTCTGCATTTTCTGTGATTCTGGGTAACTTTCTCAACTTCTGAGATCATTTTCTTACCTATAAAATGGCGATAATGCTTATATTGCAGAATTATTGTAACTTGAAAATAATGAATAAAAGCTACAAGCTATCTACTGAGGAGTTGTTAGGCAGGCTCCCAGGCCCCATCCCAAACTCCTTGACAACAGTCTGAACTTTAACTTGATTTCCAGGAAATTCATTTGCATGTTAAAAGTTAGGAAGCACTGACCTGTCACAAATATACTCAGTGCATGGTAACTATTCTTACGGTCTTGATTGTTCCCTCATCCCAGACATATTCTTGCCCTTTCCATTGCGCACAATACTTGCCTAAATGATTTCAACAATGTTTCAGGATACAAAGTTAATAAGTCCTTTTGTGCTGCTGCAACAGACTACCTGAAACTGGGTAACTTATAATAAACAAAAAAATATTGGTTCATAGTTCTGGAGGGTGGAATTTGCAAAAATAAGGGTGTGGCATCTGGTGAGGACCTCTACATCATGCCATGGTAGAAGGGCAAACAGAAGGGAAGAAAAAACAAGAGATTCAGTTCAAACTTTCAGGCCTTTTTTTAATCAGCTTTAATTCGTTTGTGAAACTGAAGTTCCCATGGCCTAAACATCTCCAATTGGACCCTAACTCTTGCACTGTTGCACTGTTGCACTGAGGATTAAGTTTCTAACACATGCCTTCTCGCAAACACATTCAAACCATAGCAATATACAAAATCAAGTGATATTAAAAACACAATTCCTAGATATTCCACCACAAAGAAATAATAGACCTTTGAAGTTGTAGATAAAACAGTTACCCTAAGCTGATGTTTCACATTGTGTGCATATCTGGAATTGTCACACTGTACCCTAAAAATATATGCAATTATGTTGTTTCAATTAAAAATAAATACAAAATTCAAAGATTATAAAAGCAATTCTATGTACTAGAGCATCAAGAATCATAAAATACTCAGGAATAAATATAACAAAAGAAATGTAAAACTACAAAATATTATTAAGGGGAATGAAATAAGTTCTAAATAAATGGAAAGACCTTACGTTCATAGATTGGAAGACAATATTTTTAATATAACAATATATTCCAAAGGGATCTACAGCATACTAGCTGATTTCCTTGCACAAATTGACAGGCTGATCCTAAAATTCATATGGAATTGAGTGGGACCCAAAATAGCTAAAACAGTCTTTACAAGGAGCAGAATTGGACAACTTACACTGCCCAACTTCAAAACCCCACTGCAAAGCTACAGTAATCATCACAGTATTGTACAGGCACAAGAATGAACATACCCATAAATGGAAATGAATAGAGTCTAGACATAAACCAGTACATTTATGGCTGGCTAAGTTTTACAAGGGATACCAAAAAAATAAAGTGGAGATTCAACATGGCTGAATAGAGGAGGAGTCATATTGGAGCATCTCAGGAAATCAACCCAAACCACAGGTAATGGGAGAAATGGAGGGACATGCATACTGATGCCAAAATCAATCTGAAAAGACACTTATAGATCAAACAAAACATAGGCATAGGAGTTTATAAAATGATCATCTGGCCCACACGGCTGCCAGAGGGCTTACCACCTGTGGGATAGCAGCAAGAACTTACGTTCCCACGAAGTTCTCCCAAAGATGAAGAGACTGAAAATATGTGCAGACTGAATCCACGCAAGATAGATCTGGAATATAAGGCCCCTTGCCTCTTAATTTCCTGCAAGCAGAGGTCACTGCACCCTGGTGACAAGTTTTGCTGGCACACACAGGGGCGAGTGACTGCTCCCTCACGAACTGGCCACCAGTTTTTGTTTTGCTTGTTCTGGTTTTTTTTTTCCTTTCAACAATATTTTATAGTTTTACATTTCTGTTGTCATACTTATTCCTGAGTATTTTATGATTCTTGATACTGTAACTGCTAACTGGAACTTCTGGTGACAACAAGGTTAGCAACTGGCAGTGGCATTGAGGCAAGGAGGAAAGAAGACCCCTCCTGCCCTATGACTGGTTCAAGAGAGGGAATCAGACCACAGAGCTGCTGCAACCGGTGGCAGTAGGGACAAGGAATGGGAAATTAGCACTCCCCTGCCTTACAGCCAGCAACTAGTGGCACAAGCACCCTTGGGCCAGGAAGTTGGCACAGGCTTCAACTTGCCACCAGAAGTGCAAGCAGCATGGGGCTGTGGGGACAAGGAGTGGGAAACTAGCACACCCCCATCCTGTGACTAGTGGAGCAAGCACCCTTGGGCCAGCAAGTCAGCATTCCCTCAGACTTGCAACAAGCAGCTCAGGATAAGAAAGGCAGCATGTGGAAGGAGACAGTGTTGTGGAACAGACCACGATACGCAAGGTCTGGGAGGAGCCAACTGTACACAGAACTGGGAGCATCCTTGAGCCGTCTCTGTCTAAGGATGCCACAGCAACTAGCAGAGCAACACAGTGACAAACGGGGTAAGGAGATGTGGACAGGTAATCCAGAAAGCTGCTGGCTAGCAACTGACCACAGCTCCCACATCCAGAGACTAAGATCAGCCCCACATCTTACAACAAGTTTGGTGAAACTCTGATTTGGACACTGCCACAGAACAATGGACATGAGAGGAATTTTACTTTTTATTTCTTAATGTGTTTAATTTTCTTTTTTCTGTCTAGTTTTTTTTTGAGATAACAATCATAAGAATATGTGCACCAAATACTGATGCAACCAGATACATAAACCAGATATTAAGGCACATGACAAATCAAATAAGCAATCACACAATTGTAGTGGGGGATGTTTATACCCCACTATCACAAATAGACAGGCCAAGTGGACAAAAAAAATTTTTTTTTTTATTTTAAAGAATAAAAGAAGGATAACATAATAATAGGGGGGACTTAGCAAATTACAGACAAAATGGTAGGAAATTATCAATGGTTATCATTTTACATATTATTGTCTACAAAATAGTTTCTCAGGAAA